TAGATTTACTGCTGGCAACAGCAGCCCGTTTATGAGGGGTAGAGACACCTATGAGAAATAATGACCAAAACACAATAATGTGATAAGGGTAGAAAAGAAACAAGTGAAACTTGTGTTTCCTGGGTTTGTAGGGACAGAGCAAATGGTGCTGGTGCTTACCTGGGATGGGACATGACCACCATATAGTAACATTTGTTGCTATGTCTTCTCCTAGACCAGGAGGTGCTTCTTTGGCAGGGTAACCTCCCTGTCCTCTCCCCATCCCTCACGTTCTGAGGACATGCCTTGCAGGCTGCCCTCTCCTTCTGGGAGTTTGTGGAATAGCTAGTGCCAGAGTACCTGCCTCTAACACTTCCTCTCTCTTCCCTCTGTGTAAAAAGATGATCTCTCACTTAAAGGCCTTCTGCTTCTACAATAAATTCCTCAGCATTCATTGTTATTCTAGCCTTTATTTTTGTGCTTTAACATTTTCCAGTTGTTGAAGATAGTGATAATAAATATTTACAGGATTTTTCAAGTTTGCTAAAGGTGGAGAATGGAAATTGAGAGTGAAGGGCCAAAGGAACCTCAGCATGGGCTTTTGAGTTAAACAAATTTGGATTCTGTGAGTGTACCACTTAATAACTGTCAATCTTGGGCAAATTATTTCTTTCTATGGGTCATTTTATGTTATTATAATAATGATGGTGATGCTTACCTAATAGGATTAAATGATCTAAGTATGCAAAAATATTTGGCACATATACTTTTACATATTGTAGGTAGTTTAGTAAATGATAGCAGTTATTATTGATGCCAGTAAGTGCTGGACTCTTTTTTTTTATTGTGGTTTAAGTGAAAGTTTAACTGCCTCTAATCCTGCCTCATTAACATCATAGAGGCAGCGTTTACAATGCATAGGAAAACTGCATCAAAAGACAAAATGTTGGACAATCACAAATTACTGGGAATCATGGCCTAGCCAATTTGACACATATTTTGGGGTGGGGACACAATTCAATCTGTAACACCCAGTTTTCTTATTCTACACTTTTTGAAATTTACAAATTGTTGAATCCCAAAGTCTGTTATACTTCAATCAAAGTGAACCTCCATTTATTATAGGAAAAAAAAATGAGCCATCAAGATGTTGTTGTTGTATGTCATTAGTCTATTCTGACTGAGAGCACCCTATAAGACAGAGTAGAACTACTCCATAGATTTTCCTAGGTTGAAATCTTTATGGGAGCAGATCACCAAGTCTTTTCTCCTGGGGAGCTACTGGTGGGTTCAAACCGCTGACCCTTGGGTTAGCAGACGAGCGCTTTAACCATTGTACTACCAGAGCTCCTTATCAAGATATTAGACTTGTCAAAATACCTAAAATAAAAATAACAATTATAGTTATTGTTTGCATCCCCACTATATGTGAGACAGTGGGCCAGGTGCTTTTTATACATTGCTCATTTATGCTTTACAACATCTGTGCAAGATAGCTAAAGCTATACCCATTGCACTTGAGAAAAGAAAAGTTCAGGAAGTTTAAATGGCTTGGCCAAGAGACATAGATTGTAAGTAGCAGAGCCCAGAGTTCAAACCTAGAACTATAAAGACATGCTTTCTTCCATTGCCTACCAGAGGCTGCATTATCTCCTCCTCTATAGACCTTCATGTTTTCCACAGTTTCTCCACTTATTCTTCCCGCCACATGTTTAAGATTTAAGCAAAAGTTATATCATTGATATAATATAAAAACTAGTTGCCATGGAGTCGATTCTGACTCATAGTGACTCCGTGTGTGTCAGAGTAGAACCGTGCTATACTGTGTTTTCATTCTTTCTTCTTTTTTTATATTTTATTGTACTTCAGGTGAAGGCTTACAGAACAAATAGTTTCTCATGAAACAGTAGTACACATGTTGTTTTATGACATTGGTTAAGAATCCCACAACATATTAACCCTCTAACTTCTCAACCTTTTTTTTTTTTAGGTGAAAATACACATAGCCAAAGATACACCATTTCAAAAATTTCTACATGCACAGTTCAGTGACATTGACTACGCTCTTCCAATTGTGCTGTTATTCTCACTTAAGATGAAGGCTTACAGAACAAAATAGCTTCTCATTTAACAGTTACTACAAATGTTGCCCTATGACAATGGTTAACAATCTCACAACACATCAACAATATCCTCACTCAACCTTGGGTTCCCTATCACCAGCTTCTCTGTCCCCCTCTGCCTTCTGGCCCCTGTCACTGGACTCCTGTACCTCATTAGTCTCATTTGGTTTTACGGGGCTGTCCACTCCCAGGCTGAACAGTGAACCTCGGAGGTAGCTTCACCACTGAGCTAAAAGGGTGTCTGGGGGACATACTCTCGAGGTTTCTCAAGTCTCCTTTAGGCCAGCAAATCTGGTCTTTTTTTTGTGAGTTAGGATTATGCTCTACATCCTTCTCCAGCTCTCTCCAGAACCCTCTGTTGTGATCCTGGTCAGAGCAGTCAGTGGCGGCAGCCAGGCACCATCTAGCTGTACTGGACTCAGTCCGGTGGAGGCCTTGGCAGCGGTGGTCCACTAGTCCTTTGGACTAATCTTTTCCTTGTATCCTCTTCTCTTCATTCTCCCTGGCTCCCGAAGGGAAATTGTACCTATTCTTATTATTAATCCCATGGATGATAAAAAGCCATTGAAAGACTTAGCAGGTTTGTGTAAAAGGTAGATCAGTCTAGCATGTGGATTGGAAAGAGACAAGATTGGAAGCAGCTGCAGCAGTCTAAGGACAAAAGGCCAAGGCAGTAGTGAAAGGCATAGTTATTTAGGAGAGGGGATGGCAAGAATGTCTAAGAAAATGAGACTTAATCGATGAAGGAGTCTGGGTTGGGAGCAATTTGATATCTGTATTTTCTTTGAACAATTTTTTGTGGTAGTGGTAGAAAATTATTTTTACAATTTTTTTCGTTATATTTCTGATGTGGGCTTGTAACATAGTTCCTCATTTCACTGTGTGCAATTCCCTTGACTCCAAGATAGAGTTAATACACTATTTCTTACAAGAGGATACCTTTGACAGCCTAAAGGTAATTGGTTGGTATGGAATATAAAGTTAGAATTGCCTCATTCTATAGGATGGTTGTGATAATTATTTAAAATGGTAAAATGCCGTAAAAAAAAAAAAAAGCTGTACTGATAATTATGGCCAAAAGTATCAGTTGTGTAGGAATTTTGTTTATGCTTCACAGTCTATTTAGGTAGTTTGTATCTGGGTTTAGCATCATTCTAAAGACTGAGCAAGATTATTGTGAGATTGGGAAAAAGAATCCTAAAGAAGGTAGTGAAGTTTTTCTCTTGTCTTTTTATGTATGCAAATTAATTTCTTCAATCATGCAAATAATACATGAATACGTGCTCACTGTAAAATAATCCAAGCCATATAGAAATAGGGAGTCAAATTCACCTACTCCCTGATATTCTCCCCTGCAGGGGAAACCGTTATTAACAGTTTGATTTATATTCTGTTCCATATACATAGTTAGATATTTTAAGCCAATTAAAAGGGGGAAAAAGTCACTATAGCAGGAGAGTTAAGCACACAGGCTTTTAAGCCTGGTTACCTGGGTTCAACCTGGACTCTACCACTTACAGCTGTGTGACGTTGGGTATCGTATGTAACTTCTCCGAACCTCAGTTTCCTCATCAGTAAAATGGGGTTAATAACATCTGTTTCATAGAGATGATATGAGGATGAAATGGGTATTTTTAAAATATTTAGAACAGTGTCTAGCACATAGGAAGCACTCAATAAATGATGAATCATACTGTATATATTGTCAGAACACATAGAGACAATATAAGTGTAGTTCTGAATCCAGCTGGGTTCTGAATCCGACTGCCTGGTGCAAATCTTAGTTGTACCGTTTTCTAACTTTGAGAAAGGTTGTTGTTGTTGTTAGGTGCCATCAAGTCGGTTCCGACTCATAGCGACCCTATGCACCACAGCACCACAGAACAAAACACTGCCCGGTCCTGCGCCATACTCACAATCATTGTTATGCTTGAGTCCATTGTTGCAGCAACTGTATCAATCCATCTCGTTGAGGGTCTTCCTCTTTTTAGCTGACCCTGTACTTTACCAAGCATGATGTCCTTCTCCAGGGACTGATCCCTCCTGACAACATGTCCAAAACATGTAAGACGTAGTCTCGCCATCCTTCCTTCTAAGGAGCATTCTGGTTGTACTTCTTCCAAGACAGATTTGTTCATTCTTTTGGCAGTCCGTGGTATATTCAATATTCTTCTCCAACACCACAATTCAAAGGTGTCAATTCTTCTTCGGTCTTCTTTATTAATCGTCCAGCTTTCACATGCATATGATGTGATTGGGTCTGGCACACCTTAGTCTTCAAGGTGACATCTTTGTTTTTCAAAACTTTAAAGAGGTCTTTTGCAGCAGATTTGCCCAATGCAATGGGTCTTTTGATTTCCTGACTGCTGCTTCCATGGGTGTTGATTGTGGATCCAAGTAAAATGAAATCTTTGACAACTTCAATCTTTTCTCCATTTATCATGATGCTGCTTATTGACCCAGTTGTGAGGATTTTTGTTTTCTTTATGTTGAGATGTGATCCATACTGAAGGCTGTGGTCTTTGATCTTCACCAGTAAGTGCTTCAAATCCTCCTCACTTTCAGCAAGCAAGGTTGTGTCATCTGAATATCACAGGTTGTTAATGGGACTTCCTCCAATCCTGATGCCCCTTTCTTCTTCATATAGTCCACCTCGGATTATTTGCTCAGCATACAGATTGAGAAAGGTTAGTGTATAGTTTTTCTGTCTTTATTTCCTCCTGTATAAAATGGAGATAATAATAGCCCCTGATTCGTAGCATTGTTAGAAGCTTTAAGTAATATATGTAGAAAGTTTAAAATTGCTGTAATGTAGTAATTATTCAATATATACTTTTTATCATTACGTCACTAAAAATGTTCAGTATTTCATGTTATAGATGTACCATAATTCATTTAACCATTCTCCTATTGATGGAGAATTGGGTTATTTCTAATTACTTATTGTTATAAAAATGCTGGTTACCATACTAACATTTTTCTACTTAAAATTTTTAAAGCCTTGCCTCTACCTTTGCTTGAGAAAGTTATTGCTGTTGATATTTTCCCACACTCATTGTCATTTGAGACTTGAATAACCACTTTCAAGATCCTCTTTTGGTATGTGATTACTACCATACATGTGATCAACCCACATCATTTTCCTATTAGTTTGGTTCAGTCCTAGGGTATGAATGGAAAGCAGAACTATTTCGTGTGGTTAAAGCTATATTTCTGAGGCATAAGCAAAAGCTGAGAAACAAAGGAGTCAAAAGTGATTTGTCTCATTTTGGGACTATTGGAATCTCAGAAGATTGAACCTTTAGGGCATCTTGACATCTGAAAAAGGTAAGTTTAAATTCTTACATATTTGGTTTATATTGTTTTATTTTCTTCCAGGAAACTTTTAAATATGAATATAAGAAATTGTCTGAAAACATTTATTGCTGGCTTTATAGGCCTATAAGAGAAAAATTTTATGTCTTGACTCAAGTCTGCTTTTTCCTTTCACACCTTCACTGAGCTTATAGGGAAAATTGGAAGTCCTAAAATTGCTCCAAAGACCCATGCAGAAAAATAAAATAAGTGCTTAGGGAAGTAAGATTTAAGTCAAAAGAAAGGAAGGAAGGAAGAAGGGAAAGAAGAAACGAAAGAAAAAGAAGATAGAATGGTAGTAAATTTGACAACCTATTTCTATTTTCATTATTGAAAAAGGCAAGTGGGTGAATTTATGGTTTAAATCAGAAAGTTTGCATGAGTCCAGACTATATATAAATGTTCATATCTTTTATATACGTTATAAGATAATAGTATTTTTTTCCAATGGGTGACCCAAATGACTTATTAATTAAAAGTATAATTAAAACCAATTCCATTTAAAAGCAACTCCTTGAAAGCAGGCTTGATTTTAAGCAGGCCCTTTGAAGATAAAGAAAATGTTAGGCACTTTTACTAACAATTTTTAAAATAAATCCTTATACATTTGTATAAATTTGTACTTTTTTAAACCTTTGCATGTATACCATATAATTTTATCCTGACAATAGTTCAGAGCCCTGGTGGCAAAGTGGTTAAGAGCTACATCCGCTAACCAAAAGGTCGGCAGTTTGAATCCACCAGCTGCTCCTTGGAAACCCTGTGGGGCAGTTCTATTCTGTCCTATAGGGTAGCTATGAGTTGGAATCCACTAGACGGCAATGGGGTAACGGGGTTGGACAACAGCTCTGCGAAGAAGGTAGGGAAGCGTTGTTATTATCATTTAGTTGATGAAAAATTGAGACCCAGAGATGATTAAATGAATTACCTGATGTAAAACAGTGGCAGAACCAGAAACCAAGTCTCCTTACTTCTGGCCCTACTTTTATCCTTTGATCAAAACTGCTTTTCTAAATAATTTTTGTTTCATGTAGGAGGTAAATCCTTATTTCACATTTTAATGTAAGTTGCCTTCATGAGTTCTTTTATATTACAGGAATATACTGCATTCTTCTGTTTAGAAACTTTGTCTAACAAAATGCTAGCAGAAGCCTTTCTAATTGAACTCTCATACAAAGAACAGAAATATACAAAATTCTGCAAACCACTTACATGTAAGAAGACCTCAAATGATAAAAAGGAAACATGGAAAAAGCAGCTTTTAGATATAAAAGACAATTCACTTTCTCTTGCTAAGATGGAATATCAAGAAAAAGTTATGAAAGAAAGTTTAACAGAACAATGTAACGATACAAATACAATAAAATCTGTGGATAAGAAAACTGTAGAGAAATGCAAATGTGTACATCTTTCAGGAAATGTGTCATTGCCTATTCCAAAAAGAGAAGGAAATGATGAAAGACAATTGGATCTGTATCGATCCTGGTCATGTACAAGTATTTGCCAGAATTATCCTGACCTACAAATTGGAGGTGACCACGTGGGAAATATGTATGATTCGGGCTGCTTTGTGGAACACACACAAGAAGATGCTGTTAACGGTCCTCTTTTACTTTCAGTGGATATACCATTGGGTTGTTCTCCTGTCACTGAGCCTCTAGAGAAACTACCTGTCTCAAAGCTCATGGATGGGGATGAAATCCGAGAAAAAAGTATGGTGTCTCATAAGCAACCCCTCTCTAATTCTATGCTTAATAATTATATGGAAAAAAAGGTGGATGAACTCTACAAACAATTTTTGGAAGAAAATCTCACTCGGTGCCACTCCATAAGCAATCTTATGGCTTCCAATTTGTTAATGAATAATGTAAATCAAATTAGCCTTCAAATTTCTCAAGAGCAGAATATAGATCCATTGAAAGTTCGGGAAACTCTTCTACATTCTTTAGCGCTATGTAATCTGCATAATGTTTCCCATGAAAACAGTTCTGAATTCAGCACTCCTAATTTACAAATATCAAACCAGACAAGTAGAGAACTTGTAACACATCTACAGTAGGAACCAATTCTTGGTTAGGGCTGACTTTGCCTGGCTTATCATGTCGTATCAGACCTCCTTTTGCTTGAGAAGTTTCTTTTTATTTACAACATACAGGATCTTTTACACTGACAATCAGAATAGCCTATGGGAACTTATTATACATGTTTCAAGATTGGGTGTGAGAGCATATCCAAGGGAATAACTTAAACAAAAGCTGGATTTAAACGATGTTTAAAAAAATGTGGAGAGGGGCTAAAGGAAACGTGGAGAATTTGCCAGTTTCATTTGCATTGAAATTTGATGTTTCTGAACTCTCCTGGGACAAGTATCAACTGTGTTATATCATTGTGTTATTCTGGGTTTATTTCAGGGTTGGGAGGAAGAAAAAAATACAGATAAAATGAACAAAGTGCATATAGAACCATCGTGTAGAAATGAAGAGGCTGTCTTGGCAACTTGGTATACTCAGATTATCCCTAATCATGATTCTGGTTTAGGATAAAAGTCGGCAGGATATTATGGAAATTTTGGAATATAAATTAAATAACTCAATAAAACATTGCTAAAAGAATGGTATAGTTTATTGCAGACTTGGAAATAAGACCATACAGTTAACAGCTCACACTTTTTCTAGAAATAATAAAATGATTGACGTGTACTTTTACTTGTAAAATAAAATTGTATGAATTTCTGTTATGGAATTGTTATTATTGCATTATATATTGATAAGATTTGTGCATTAGTAGTCACATGTTTCCCTCCAATGATCTGTTTGATCTTTGACAAAATTTTATAAAGTCATCTCAATGTCCTCACAGCTTATTCTTGTTGATCATCACAATTCTTCGTTTATTTTCACCCTCTTCAAATTTTTATGATCTAATAGTAAGTACTCCAGATTTATTTTCTATTCTCCTCTACATCACTTTTTTCCCCACTATCCTCTCCTATAACACCCCCAATCCACTTCCATCATTCAGAATTTTAATGCTGAACAATGGGTAAGTGTTTTGGAACAACTGACTTAGTGTCTTGTACATACTGACAGTTGTGTGTACATTGACTTTTATATTGTTAAATTTGTACATTTTTAATACAATAATTACTAAAATGATAAAATATTGATGTTAAACTTTATCTTTTCTAAAGTGAATTAAATGCCATTGGGCAACATTACTGCTGTTAATAGTTTTCTTAGGTATAGTAATATGTATCAATTATTTTTGAAGCAGAAATATTCATAAATAATGTGATGACTGCATAGTATTAAATAAAACTCTGAAGTATTTAGCTAGTATCAAATTTAGAGATACATTTGATGATACTCTCAGATTTCATTTGTCCCTCTTGTTCATGTCATCAAAGCTCTTATTATTTAAAGATACTTAAGGTTAAAATGGCTTTATAATTTAATCCAATATTTAAATAAGGAAAGATGACGAATTCTGTCTTATTTTTTCATGCTAACCTCATACCTGCTAACTTCAACTCTTTGACTAAGATAGGAGTATGAGGTTGTGATTTAGTATATTTTGTCCTTAAGTAGTTATTCTTCATTCCATTTTTCATCATGGGTATCACTTATGTGACTAGTAATACTCTTTTAAAATGCTATTTGAAGTGCATGGAATAACAAATTTCATTATGCCCCACTTTTTCAGGAGTTGAAAGTAATAGTTTTGTGCTTCTATGAAAATGGAGAGTATTAATGATTCAGCAATTAGAGAAGATCATCATGTTGCTTGGCAGGGTGTAAGGCATTCAGGAGGTTAAGAATGATAGCCAACACAGTGCTACTCCCCCACTTGCATAGGTCAGTCTAATGTATATCACATCTTCAGATTTCAGGTCACTATTGGAGGGACTAGGGTGGGTTTGACCCAGTCTCTGGTAACTTTCCGTCAGGAGTGTCCTTGACAAATGGAAAGCGATTCAAGAGATAAGAGTCTATACTAAACTCCTAGGATTTTTCAGGCTTGATTTGAATCATGGATTAGTCCCCAAAAGAAGCCAGTCTCCCTGAGGTTCTTGAGACTGGAGATAACACTGAGCTGGTCCATTAAAGATTGTAACAGACGTTCTGACTTTTTCCATTATTACCCTTAATATTTGGGTTTTATAAAACTGGTTTTAGGAAGTGGAGAAACAAAGTTAATAGCTTCCTAGGGATCTTTTTTCCCATGTGATTTCCCTCTGTGGGACTGATTTGGGAGCAGGGGAAGAGTTGATCTTTATATGTGTATATTTATCTTCAAATGCAGTGACTTTATTGTCCTTTTTAGGTGGTAAATGTGGCTAGTATAGCCTTCATAGATAATATATGCTTGAATGAGTGTGGAGGAGTGGCTTGATGAGGATTAGTAGGTGAAATAATTGTACAATTAAGCAGGCATTTGTTTTCAGTCAGTACCAGAAGGAAAGAAATTAATAAGTTTAAATCAACAAATAACCATTAAGTCAAGTTAAAAATGATTTAATGTTTTTGTGACTTGTCATGTGCATGGAAAATTAGCAAATTAGCTATATATGTGTGAAAATCCATAAAAAATAATATTTGAGTGCAAAAAAAATGACAAAAATGTTTTCATGATGTTAAAATTCCTAATATAATAAAGGTAACTGTTCTTCTGGAAAATGCTTTGGGGCAATTTAGGACTTTTGATCCTTAATGATGTTTGCTTTTCTTTTTCTCAAAGCCTAGTAGAAATTTGTAAAAATGGCCTTGATATTATAAGGCTATTAGTTGGTTTAGTTTTTATTACAGTGTAAATGCACAACGTCACTTTTTGCTGTTTTAGGAAATAGCCTTTAGATGACTATATTTGAGAACATTTCTATAAAAATGATGAGAACCAAATTAAGGTGTATTAACTTCAGTTAAAAAAATACTGAATCATTGTTATGGACAGTTACTTTTTGAATTGTTCTGCTATTTTAACTAAAGCTGAGAAATTTGTAGCTTACAGAATTGCAATATAGTTCTGGTTTTTACTTCCCCAAATGAATAGAGACATTTTATCTTGAGAAACATGAATTGTCATAAGACCTTGGTCTTGTAAGAGAGTGACTGTAGTAGGTAGGCAATTTCCTGAAATTTGTTCCTCTCTACAACTGAAAGCAGGACCCATTTCTAAATGGACTTTGAGTAGAATTATAAAAGTTTAAGGGAAACTCAGGAACCCAGAGACTTTTATGATTCTGTCCCTGTCCTTTAAGTATTCACCTCTACTTTGGACAAGCCATGTGATTCTATAATTGTAGAACACTCTAGTATGCTTCTCCTTAGGAGAAACTTAGGAATTGATATCTAAGCATTCTAATGATATGGGACCAACTGGAGCCGGGAGCAGACCTCCAAAGCCAGATCATGACCAGAATGAGTGCTTGGAGCATTCTGTCATCCAGTTAGAAATATCCTCAGGACACCTCCAAGTCTAGGAGAAACTGTTGGACTCTTTGTTAATTCACTAAACAAATATTTCTTGAACATTGCACTAGGTGATAGGGATAAATGGTAAACAAAACTGATGTAGTTCCTGTCTTTTACTGAGCTTTCAGTCTGGCTGATGTAGGATCATGAAAGGTATAAGCATGCACAGGAAATAAACTACACTGGTAGTTCTGCCTACTTGGGCTGTTCATAATCTAGTCTGAATCTTGTATCCAGGACTGATATTTAGCTGATAATCACCAGTGTGGCTGTACTGGTAATTAAACATATTGAAATATTTTTATGTTCAAGTTCTCCCACTATACCACCCTGGACACATTGGCCTCTTCCTCTAGATCTTTGCATTTCTTCATAATCCAGCAACTAAACAAGTATACAAGGGACCTCCAGAACCCGACTCCAATACTACCTGTGCTGTCCATATGAGTTGTTCAATGTTTTGATCCTCACTTACGCTTGTATCCACTTCTGTATTAAGATTCCTGTTCCAAAAACCTGCTCAGTAAGACTATTATTGGTAGACTCGGTCCCTGCTTTTTTTCCTGCCACCCCTTCTATGTAATGAAGGCCTTGTTCCTGACACTCAAAGCTTTGACTGGACCTTATACTCTATTAGTCACTTTCCTTAATTTTTTCTTGCCGTATTTAGAATATTTATTTATTTGTGTTCCTGTAAGGGCACTTGCTTCCTGCGAGACAATCCAGATGTGCACTGACATCTGAATTATTGCTTGCCATCAAATTACTGATCTGAGACTATAAAGAGAGGACCACATCTTGGGTGTTGGACATTGATTACCCTGAACATTTTACTTTATATTATTCCTGCTTTGTATATCATATCAGATCCAAAAATTATTGATAGTGCATTGTGCTTCATAACAAAACAGTTATTTCCGTTTCAGACACTGAGGAGTTACACTTTAAAGTTTAAATGTAGAAAGGATCCATGCGCTGAGAAGACCACCTGTCTATGTGAAGTTCTCTAAATTTCTGTGATAGAGCTTTAGCCATGTAACTTGAGACTTTGTTACCTGTTAAAATGCCTGTGTACCTAATAGGGAGTATCCTATTATTAGTCATTGTCAGTCAGTAATAGTAATTGTACCATTTTTAGTATCTATTACATGATAGGCACTCTACTAAGAGCTTTACTTACATTATCTTATTTAATTCTCCCGACAACCTTATAGGTAGGTAATATTATTATCCCCACTTAAGACAGGAGGAAATTACAGTTTATAGAATTAAAAAAAAACTTGCCCAAGGTCATACACCTAGTCAGACAGAGTTGGTATTCATATGAACTCAGTCTGACATCAGAATCTGTGTCATTAACCTAGGGTTGCAAGATTTAGCGAATAAAAAGACAGGATACTCAATTAAATTTGAATTTCAGGTAAACAGCTTTTTTTTTTTTTTTTTTTTAGTGTAAGTATGTCCCGATGCAATATTTGGGACATATATTGGGACATGGACTTACCCTTAAAAAGTATCTGTTGTTTACCCAAAATTCAAATTTAACTGGTGCCGTATATTTTAGATGGCAACCCTACCTTAACCACTACCTTTTGCTTTTTTCCACGGTGATTCACAAAGCAGAGAGAACATCAAATGTGGAGAAGGAAAAGTGGGGCAGAATGTGAAGGCAGAGAATGGAGGGACCCAACAAAGGGACAAAAGAATAAGAAATATGGAGCTGGATATTGAAGATACCATTTTATAGTGTCCTTACCCTGAAGGAGAGCTGGGGAGAAAGAGTCTTCTCCTAGGGACTCTATATCTTAGCAGAGCTTTTCTCCTGTGTTAGGTGTGTAGAGACATCCCTGTTTCAATCCTGTTGCATGAGTAAAGCATTCAGAGAAACAAGTAGAAAGAGATAGCTAGAAAGAGCAAAGGATTTGGAATGAGAAGATTTGGGTTTTAGTAAATTTCCAACTCAGCCACTCACTAACTGCCTGACAAGGCACTTTGCTTCTCCAAATCTCAATGTTCTTATCTGGAAAAAAAGCATAGCAACATTTGCCCCAATAATGTCACAGGACTGTTAGGAGGATTAAAGGAAAGTGAAAAGACTTGGTAAATTGTAAAGGATTCTGCAAATATAAGGCCTTTTTTTTAAAAAAAAAAAAATCAGATTTATTACAAATAAATCAATCATCATGTTCAAGATTGGGGTAGGGGAAATATTTCTTTTTTTTTCCCCAACTTAATTAATACTTGTAATAAACCCTTTCTGATTACATCACAGGAACACCTGAATGTAAGATAAGAGCCAGGAGTCTACACCTGCTGCTAGTGTTTACTGCTGGGAGGGGCCACTTTTATGTTCTGCTGAGATAAATGAATAAATAGATTTGCCTGACTTTTTCCCAAATGCTTGAGAAACTTTATAACATTCTGATTTAAAATTATATTTCTCATAGAGAAGGAAATTTAAAATGAATGCTTCTTAAAGGGAAATAACACTGTAAACACTAGATGAGAGAAACAAAAACTTTTTAAGATTAATGCACAATATCTCCTATTTCACTGAAGTGTAGTGACGCCAGTGAGAACCTCTGTGCTAAAAATCACTGAAAAAAAGCAGCCCGTTGCCGTCGAGTCGATTCTGACTCATAGCAACCCTGTAGGACAGAGTAGAACTGCCCCACAAGGTTTCCAAGGAGCATCCGGTGGGTTCAAATGCCGACCTTTTGGTTACTAGCCATAGCTCTTAACCACTACCCCACCAGGGTTTCCAAGAGTCACTGAAAGGGTGGTATGGTTCAGCAGCAAATTCTGTAGCTATAGTAGTTTGTTTTTCTAAGTGAATGTAATATTGGCAGAGACTAAGACACCACTTGAAAGAGACAAGTGACTGTACCGTAAAAGAAGTATGACAAGAAGACTGTGCAACTGGTGAAATTTGTTCTTAGCATCTCTAGTCTTCCCACTCCAGACCTTTTAAATAATAATATCAGTTATAAACAATAGAGGCCCTACCATGGTGATAGATATTTCACCTGCCTTATAAGGTTGTTGTAAGGATGAAATGTGATAGTGTATATCAAGTGTCTGGTACAATGCTTGGTTCATATTAAATACTCAGTGGATGGCCAATGTCATTGTTGTTATTTTTATTTGGATCTCATTATTCTCACTTTAAACATGAAGAAACAGACTTGTTCCTTCCTGTGACTTCAGGTACTTTGTTCTTTAAGTCTCCAATAAAAACCCACTTTAAGGTAAGAGTCATTTCTAATTGAGTATGAATATGTTAGTGTTCCTTCTCCCAGAAAGGTCTGCATTATAAGCCTAAATTTCTGGTGTGAAACAACACATTCTGTTATCTGGGAAAAGGAGTTTGGGCTTCAGTCACTCTACAGGATGGAGATTTTGGGCTCCCATCCTAGCTCCTCAAAATTCTACTCCCTAGGCATCCCTGAATTTGCTTAGGTATAAAGTCTGTCAGTGGAGGCAATAAGGCCATAGAAATTTTATAGAATAGAAGCTAATACTTCTTCCTTAGGTATAGTCTCAATATTTGAGGCTCAGGAAGGTTTAAGGGTAGGCAGCTTTCAGAAGTATATGACAGCGGCAGAAGATCTGATAGAGGAAAAAGAAAGCAGGTACTTATCATGAGCTCTTAGGAGATCTCTGCTTTCTAACCTTAGATAGTTTAGAGTTCCAGACATCATAGACAAAAAGCCCCATAGAGATCATCTAGACTGGAGATTTTCACCCTTAAAAAATACAGGGAATTAAGTCTCTCATTCACACACACAAACACACACACACACACACACACACACTCACACACACAAGAGCACGCAAGTTTATGCAGTAGCTCAATATGTAAAAACAGACAATTGAAGCACTGTTCTGATGGAAAAAGGGAGAATGAAAATTCTACCCCCATCCCTACATTTAGGCAGCCCTTGATGGGGCTCCTTATAATGGTTTGAAAACTATTGATCTAATTCATCATTATTATTGTACAGATGGAAAAAAAAAAAAACCAAAAACTGATGCCCAAAGAGAGTGAAGGAACTTGCCCAAGCAGCTAGTGAATAACCAAAGTGGCACCAGTATGTAGGTCTTCTCCCATTCCAGTTTGCTTTCATCTTAAATCTGTCAAACTACCAGACTTTAATATGCTAACAATATGATGATTTCATGAACCCACGTTGCTTCTTTGTCATTGTGGGTACCAAAATCTTATCATCACCAGCATCTGTAGGAAATTCTAAACTGTGACACAAATGTCAAAAGTGGCATGTAGGCTCTCATATAGTGGGTGAGGTCTTATTGCTGCTTCTTAATCCTCCTCCCATCTCTTGGCATAGCTGCTCCTGTTGGACTCCATTCAGAGACATCTGCTGTCAGACAATCACTGGCAGTAATTCATCATTTCTCAGCCCAACACTCAGATCCATTAAAAATATGGGTTGATATACCGTATATTTTCTAAACTTGCTCATTTTTGTAACTTCTTCTCAAAGGGAAATAACAGTGTTAGATGACTAATGGAAAATTCAGTGATGATTTTCCCACTGGTTTAGTTTTGCTGACTGAGCAGTGGTGATGAAATAATCAAGTGAGCAATAGAGAGGTCATAATGTGGAAAGGATGTAAAAATGCAGTGAGTGCAGAATCTCCATAAAAGGAAAGCAAATCTATTAAAAATGAATCTAACCACCATTATTTGTTTGAATCGGCAGCTAAAGATATTTGCCTTATTATTTCTTCCACTTAAGATAATTAAAACTGTTCTTTAATATATAAATATATATGGGTCACTCACTTTAGTAGTGCTAATATTGTCCACACAAAGGAGGACAAGATACATTTCATTACTTTTTACATTTAGGGATCTGGATGAACCAGATGGTGAGAACTGAGAGCTGGCTGATGTAGAGTGGTGGCTGAACTAGCAAGTATGAAGAACCCTAGACTAAAAAAGATCCCAAAAAGAGCTGGAAAAGATTTTCATATGGTATGCAGAGAAATTATGTTTGTAGAATGGTACACTTCTTAGAGCCCATTTTTCAACTTGGAGTGTGCATCAAAAAAACCTGAGGAACTTCTCCAAGATAAATTTTTTTGGCCTCCAGGCCATATCTACCAAATATGACTTGGGTTTGGGTTTTGAAAAATTATCTAGGATCAGATACACACATTTCATGAAGACCCTATTATCTAAATCAACCCCTTCACTGCATAGATAAACGTAAAATCAGAAAGGGTAAGTGTCTTGCCCAAGATCACATTTTAATTTCTTTTCACCTGTATCCATGAACAATTCTGGTTTTTCAAGTTT